TGGGGAGGACCACTGGAAATAAGGACAGGCACGAAGGTGTCAATGGTCCCGTTCATCCTGAGCGGTGCCGGAGAGACTTGAGCAGGCAGCGGACAAAGACACAGTCCCCCGCGCACCCGTTTACGGGGGAAAGCTTCGGGTGGAACAAGACGAGAGGTCACTCATGCCCTGAGTTTCTCAAGATGGAACTGAAGAGAGAGTAAGGGAAAAAAAGCCACTGGATTTCTCAATAATATAGCAGGTCCCGCGCCATGCTGCGTCAGGGCCCCCAAGACGTGGTTTCAGGTTCGATGGATTCAGTGTGGAAACACTCACAGAACTCAGAAGAGTATGGTCCGTCGCAGTCACGGCTGTGCTACACTGACAGGCACGATTCAACTCGGAAAGACGGGCAGCAAGCGGGACACCAATAAGGCAGGCCCCCCGGACCACACCGCCTAGTTCTCCAGCCACGACGCGCGACACGCACGAGTTCGCGCAACCGGAAGCTCGCCCGGGTGCGTTGGCTGCCTCAGATGTTTCCACGGGGGCTCCGTCACAGGCCCGAGCACTCGTGACCTTAAGCTACGCAGTCCGCAGCCCTTGGGGATGAGTCTCGACGCAGAGCTTGGCCCAGGCACAGGCATTCGCCGCAGACACGGTGGTAGCGTGGACTGTCGGTGTGGCCCGCTGTAGCGCGCGGACGATCTTGGTGAGTCAGTCAGATTCCAAGAGCTCAGAGGCCACCTCCCAGGAAACACTCAAGGGCCAGCCCTTTCTTTGGGGTGTGCAGGCTCTGAACATCCCAACCCCATTGAGTGAACCCTTTGTTGCACATACTGTGTTTCTCTGAACACAAGACAGGGTCTTATATTTATTTTCCCTCAAGAAGACGCCCTAGGGTTGATTTTCAGGAGATGTGCTATTTTTTTTTTTTTAATCTACACTTCGGTACAGCGCTCACTGGCAGCGCAACCTTGCCCACAGCCGGCACTCACAGTCCGCACGACAGTTTGTGCTGTGCATTGACCACGAATCCATTTTGCTCTTGTGTGATGGGGAAAGCCTTAAAGCACTGAGAGCTTGTTTTATGGTACAGCAATCTACAAATACTCAAATATAGTTAAGTCGTCTTCTTCTGGAACATCATCCTCACTCTCCAAACCCCGAATCCCATCCTGAATTTCTTGCGGCTCTATTTCCTTCAGAACCAGCGGCCCCGATC